TGAATAGAAACGAGTTCTGGAGGGATTCTTTTTTTAATTCTAATTATATGACTTTAGACAGCACTTTTGAGAAGCGTTGGCTAATATGGGTCTTTAGCAGTGCTTTTAAGATTTTTTTTTTAAATATTTATATGATTTTAGATAGCGCTTGGGAGAAGCGCTGGCTAATGTGGTCCTTTACCAGCGCTTTTTTAAGCGCTGTCTAAAGCAACCCTTTAGCAGCGCTTTATACGTAGGCTTATAGCAGCGCTTTTAAGAAGCGTTGTCTAAGGGGGGGTCTTTTAGCAGCGCTTCATACGTGGGCCTTTAGCAGCGCTTCTAAGAAGCGCTGTCTAATGTGGCCTATTAGCAGCGCTTTGGAGAAGCGTTGTCTAAAGTGGGCCTTTAAGCAGCGCTTTGGAGAAGCGTTGTCTAAAGTGGTCCTTTTAGCAGCGCTTTTACATAATTTCATTAATACTTTCTGTGTTTTATTTTTTATTTGACTTATAGAAATGCTTTTGAGAAAAAGCGTTATCTAAGGTGCGCTGCCTAAAATCCTTTTTGGCGTAGTGATTGGACCTTGTATGATGTTTGGGCCAAGTGCAGACCCATTCTAGAATAAATGTTATCAATGTTAGAAAAAAATAGATTATTGATAATCAAATTGTTCCACTTTTTAAAATTCCAACCCACTTTTTAAAATCCAAATCAAATATTAAAATTGGATTTAGTGGTTCATTTATGGTAAAAGTGGTCAACCGATATCCGCAAAATAATACGGTTTGGTTATTGGATATCTAAATATTAAATTTAGATTTTTTTTAAATAATCACTATTTAAAAAAATATATATACTTAAATGACCACAATTTCAGAAAAAAATATTAAATAAATCATTTTCAAACAATTTTTTTTTGTCATAGAGCAGGTATCACACTCTGTGACGCGTGCATTTAATTAAAGAAGATGTGTCACACTGCACGTATCTCAGTCATACCATGCAGTGTGGCGCATGTACTATAGCATTAAGTGCATGCATCATTCAATGTGGCTACTCAGTTGTTTGGGTTTTTTATAAATACACGCATCCATGTCCATCATAGACCACACATTTTTCTCATTTCACTTTTAAATATGTCTTCCAGAATACTTCCAATATTTCCAACTATCAAAAGAAATGCTTAACTTTTTTTTCGCCAACAAAGTCTTCGGTGAAGATCCGACTTTGGAACACGGAGATCTTCGAGCATTTTTAGAAGAGATTGATTCATTGGTTAGAATGAGACATTCTTAACAGTGAATAAATTAGGAGAATTGATAGGTTTGTTAGGGTGTCCAATCAAAATGGAGAAACTCGTTCATGTAAACGTGTTAAAACCGACAATGTTGTCCTTATGATGATGCTTGCACCAACTGATGTTGTCTTGATGGTTGTAATTTTTTAGTTATGTTGATGTGTTTGGTCATTTTATTTGTTTATTATGGTGTTGTTTTATGAGTGGTTGTCTTTATTTTGTTGTACTTGAATATTGTCTTGAAAACAACTCGTAATACTGTAAATACTGTAAATATGTGGTCACTTTTTATTTCCTGAAACAACTGGTAATAGTGTAAATATTATGTAATTACCTTTATTAAGAGATTTCAATAAAATAAGCACATATATTTGGAGTTCAGCTATTTTGTCTCATTTATATAGTTCTTTGTGTAAAAATGCATGGAATGATATTTATTTATTTTATTCCTGCACTATTTTGCTCCAAATATGGGGTTGATCGAGAATGCCGACACTTGCCCCCGCAACAATAAGCCTTTCATATTTCCTACACGACAAAGTAAGCTTACAACATTATTCAATTTACTTACTTTATACTATAAACAACGATAATTAGTTTATTTTCACTATTTTCGATATATGTGGTTTCTTCCAGAGATGAACTACAAAAAAACTCCTATAAACGCTATAGTAGTCTATCGAAATCTTCTGAATCATATTGGACCCAAATAGGTATTACAACTAGACACCTCGTTAATTTAATTTAATATTACCATAAGATTAACTTATTTTTTTTCTCTACAGATTATATAGAGGCTGAATCTGGGTGTCGACCATGAGATTAACCGTGAGGATTCTGAAGTTTGGATTGCAAAAACAACAATCACCGAGTTCACTACTATAGAGATGAACCAGAGTGACCGTGTGAAACTGCAGTTTGACATACAACAAGGGAGTCCAGATCCCCCGACATGTTTGAGAGAATGACATCAATTAAGAGTAGATGACCAATGGAAAATTACCGATTTGAGATTGTTCGCTAGAGATGCATGTCGTCAATGAAGGCACTAGCGTGAACGGGTCATAAACGAATCAGTATTGCAGGATGATGTTAGACCAACTCTCCATTATATGAATTGATATACGTTAGTTTCAAAAAAATTGTTTATGTCTCCGCCGACATATTTGATCGATCCACGCCAAAGAGATTCATCATACGCCCAACAACCAATTGCTCAATAATACCAAACCCAACAACATTGTCAACCCATCCAAAACCAACAACCTTACACCACCACATCCATCCAAATCCGCCAACAATTCATGTTACACACAAAAACACAAAACCAAGAGCATGACCTGGACTGTCACCAACAATATGTTGACACCTCATCTTACCACAACACTGATGACACGTATGATACCGCCTCATCCTACTATAGCACCCAACTAATATACAATCAAACATCACACCACTGAAGCACTCAACCATCACATGTCTTTCAAACACCACAAGAACCATTGTTTTGTTTCCAAAATGATTAACATCTCAATTATACCAACGACCCCACCCACATGTAACCCAACCAACACGACCCAACTTCGATAACATATGCATTGAACTCTTTGAAAGCACCGTAAACTATGGAGTAATGGTTGAGGAGTTGTATAATCTGATTGTTGTCCCGAGACCATCGCATCTAACACATCTGCCTCAATCGAATCAGTACATGCTCCAAACACCTCGGAAAAGTCAAGGGAGACCTTAAAGACAAATATGGGGACGTTATTATTTTACCGGTGGGCGTTTGAGTGGAAGGGATCGGTATAAATATATCAAATTGTTGTGTAATTTCTTTTTTCTAATAATATTATCATAATATATTTTTATTTTTATTTCCATTTATTTTGTTAAAATAAATTTAAAAAAACAAAACAAAACAACTGAGTAGCCACACTACTGGATATTACATGCACTTAAAGCTATAGTGTACACGTCACAGTACATGGCATGACAGAGGTGCATGCGTCATGTAGTGTGACACCTCTTCTTTAATTATAATGTGTGTGCTATAGTGTAGCGTTTTCTCTGTGTGATGAAATTTTTTTATTTGAAAAGTGATAACTTTAACATTTTTCCTGAAATTATAGTTATTTGGATATTATCTTTGAAAATAATGGTCATTTAGAAAAAAAAATCTCAAATTTGTATGCTTCCGACTTTCAACTAAAAACTTTAATATATATATATATATATATATATATATATATATATATATATATATATATATATATATATATATATATATATATATATATATATATATATATATATATATATATATATGACAACAAAACTCATACTCGCGAATATTCACCCGAATACGTTCCGAAGTCGACGGAAAAAACCTATTTTAATTGGGTTCGAATTTGGGTTTTCCCCGATTAAAAAATATGGAGACGGGTCAAATAATAGGACACTGGTACCCAATCCAAACTCGTCCCATTTATTTTATTATGTATATTATTATATATTTTTGATAATTTAGAATATTAAATATGTAGTTAATATTTTGAATATTTAATTTATATTTATTATTTAAAATATTTGAAATTTATGTATGAAATTTTTTAAGAATATTTTATTTTATTATTTATAATGTAATTTGATTTTAGAAAAATAAATATTTATATTAAAAAATTAATTTTACTAAATGAACGGTGACGGAACGGGGATATCCGAGTCCAACCCAAAGTCATTTGAGACGGATTTGGGTCTTAATTCTCCATCCCCGTTGAGTTTGGGGTTGGGGCAGAGATTGTTTAGAGATTCGGATTTGAGTTTGGGAGAGATAAAACTCATCCCCGACCTATTCCGTTGTCGTGCCTAAGAATCATCAGATTTTAAAAAAAAAATGACTGGTTTAAATTGGTTTAATCAATTTCTAACCCGTTCACCAACTATGCCTCTGAAACCGGTTTTTGTGACAAATGATTTGGTTTAAAAACCATATCCATAAAAGTGGATTGGCTCAATATTTGGTAACAGCCCTAATCATTGTATGTAAATTAATTTTATAATGACGTCTAATTAAAATGTAGTATTAAGTAATTGTTTTTAAAAGACGGTAGATTTAAGCTAAATAACTGTAAAAACTATTTTCCGTCCAAAAAGAACCGTAAAACTATTTTTCACTTTGATATCTTCAAACATCAAAAGTAAATTTAAGAATTGTCTCAAACTAGATGGAACTCATGTCTGCGTACTTAAACTATCCTAGCTGCTTATCACACACTACACCAATTTACTTTATAATTTAAACTGAATCAATTTCTTAAATCAATAGTGAAACAATTCAGTTTAATGAAATAATTTTAACTAACATTTCTAATACTAGTAGTAGTAAAATAATCTCCCACCTTATGCATAAAAAGAAATTAAACAAAACGATTTTACATATAGAAATCAAATTTAGGCCAGATAAAAAAATAAATGTGATCAACCTTCATATATCTATTCTTACAAGCAGACCTAGCGTTTTCAGATCAAGAATTGTGGTCTAAAAGTCTCTGGTTCATTTGAGTACCCATTTCAATCGAGTATAAACAATTTTACTAACTGCTACAAAATGAAGTTGTATTATATCATTTACAACAAAATTTGGGTCTCAGGAACAAAATTTGGGTCTCGGAACAAAATTGGGTTTCAAAGGAGAAGAGAACAATCTTTAACAACGGAAATTTTGCTATCGAGGTTTGAGAACAGGAAGCAAGCAGTCATAGACGCTCTCTAAGCGTGAAGTCACAGTGAGCTTGTGGTTAGTTTGCAGGCCAGGACTAGCCAAATCAATTATATCTTGTCGCAAACTGTTCATAATATTAAATGTCAATATTCTTATTTTTTTAACGCTCCGATATAAAAGGGAGTATAAATCTAAATCCATGTTACAAAATGGTGACCAAACATGAAAGAATATAACTAACCTATGCCACTCTCGAGAAGCTTCAGCGTGCCTCTTGACCGCACTGTACAAGCGATCCAAGCTATAGAGTATCAATCCAAATGTATACTTTGCATCTCTCTCCTGTATCAGACATATATTGTCAATATTCTATTAGTGGTTAGAAATATATATCATTCCAAATTAACTAAACATTGTTTGTGAGCCTCAAAACCCCTTCCCTAAATTGAAGAATTTGAGACGTTAAGAAAAAAATGCACGTTTCACAAGTACAATGAGGAACATATTCCACAGATCAAGTACTTCAATATCAAAGCGAACTATTAGGTGGACTGGTAAAACAAAATCAGTCAACAGTGTTCTTCACTCAGTAACATCAAATTTTAGATTAATAATAACACTTGGCATCATCTTTGTCGAAGTGAGATGAAATCATGCTTGGTGTTCTATTCTATTTGGAGGATTTAAAGACTAAAAAACCAAATCATGAAAAATTTATCCAAACGCCAACTTTTCGAGTTAAGCTGCAAGGTATGAATAATATTAACAACATTAAACAGCCTCCATCAAGAATACAGTAATTAAAGAGAGAAAATAAGTTAGCGGAGAGATAATAAAATCCACTGTCACAAGTATTCTTGCATAAAATGTTGTGTACTTGTCTATACTTGAAACTTCATTTTGGGAGAAGGTTCTTACCAATCCTTGCTCTACATAATTTTGATATTGCAAAATCCTCTTCTCAACTTCTACGACAAGTAGCCTCCTCTGAATCCGGGCAATTCTACCCCTTCCCTCAGCTTTTGTATCCTGATTTACCAAGACAGAAAAGTTTAGCCAAAACTTTCAGAAAATCTATGGAAATTATACAAATGCTCGGTAGGAATTTTCAGCTAAACCCAATCAAACTTGGAAAATCATTGGAAATTATATCATCAAACTATAATGAGTACACTGAAAACCAAATTTCACGACAAGAGTAGAAAATAAATAAAGAACATTGTAGCTACCTCCAATCAATATGATGCAAATAATAAAATTATAAATGTTACAATTTGTTAGTCACCCATTAGTTAGGGGGAATTAATATTCGCAGCAAATTTTAGTAAGCCAAAAACAGAAGTTAGTTACAATAGGAGAGGTTAAATAGGAGTCAGTTAGTAGGGGAAAACAGTTTGGTTGCAAGTCATAAAGTGTGGGAGAGAAAAGGCCTCTCAAATGCCTTTGAGAGTTTATTCTCATTTTGAGTTGATTCATCATTTTGCCTCTCAAATGTATCTAAAATCTAAAATAAATACAATGAGTAGCTAACTTATGATTCTTTACATTTAAGAGAAATATTAACATGTGAATAATGTGATCAATTCTAATAATAAATAATTGGGGGTGGTCAATTGCAACATAAGTGAGAAGATAATAAAGAAGATAACTGAGCCGATAGAGACACTACAGGTGAAGGGGCAAAGAGATAGAGATGTGGCAATATGTTCAAGAGGTATTCTGCATTCTGTAACTTGCTAACAATTTTTTTCATGTATTCACTTCGATTATTTCCTGGTGCATGGTTCACTCCAGACAAGATCCACGATCCATTCATTAAATTTAGTCAATTTAAGGTATCTTAAGTTAAGATTTACAATATGTTATCTGGACTTCTATATATTATAATTAATAAGTTTGTCATTTTGTTCAAATCAAACAAAAATTGGAAATTACCTGTTTGAACCATGCCCGTACTAACATAATGAGTAAAAGGGAGAGAAAGAAGGCAGGTAAGGCAGTCAGAACAGCAAAGTTGATTTCATTTGCCCGTAGAATTTGGTTTAGCTCCAGCATTGCGCTGAAACAAAATATCATTGTGAGGAACTAAAATAATGTGAAATATTCATTGAAACTTTCAGATTCGAAAAACTCACGTTTCAGTATCCAGTTTCAGCTTCTGAACCTGTAACATTGAATAGTTATAGTTATGTTAAAATAGCAACAGATGTTGTGATGTAGATTAGTTATTTAGTTTTATTATTTATTTTGGATTTTTAATTTGAGATTATTTATTGTTACGCAGTATTTAGGGATTTTATTCTATTTTGAATGATTTTAACCCAGCTTTAAATAGGAATAGCTACTTAGATGTTTGCCTTTACTGGGCCAATAAATAGGCCTGTTAAACTTTAATCATAACACGAGTATGTTATATTTTGAGTCAACAAATCACTCTTCACACATACAGAAGTACAATTTATCTGAGGAGCATCCTGTCAAAAAGAGCACTCTTGAATATCTACCCTACATCAGGTTAATTGTGTTGTTTGAGTAACATTACCTGAATAAGCATAGCCCGAGCCAGCTCTCCACTGAAAAGGTTTTGAATAGGATGCATGAGTTCCTTCTCATACCTACATTTATACATAAAATATATCAGATCATAACACATAAGTTAAACACTAACATTACAAGAATGAAAGTGATAACATGAATTGAGAATATAATTTCTATCTTTCTTGCACTTAGATAAAATAAAGAGGACCATTATAAACAAAAGTAATTTCCAATACATATTGATGAATTTCCAAATGTCAAAAACAATTCAACTTAATTTTTTTTATTTGAAAAAAAGACAAGGAACTCGGATTGTTCTAACTGGCACATCTGAAAACAGAAGGAAAACAATTAAGGCATAACGTGATAGCACATCTGGCAAATTATCTAGGGAAGCTCCTATATTTACTTACTTAACATGTAATAGTTAACCCTCTAACTGCCAAAATCAGTGCCTACACACTCCACTCCAATAGAAGTAATTGACATTGAGATTGGAGACCCATTATGATGCTAAATCAGAAATCGACCATGCTACTGCTAACATATAATGAACCCTATTAGGCATGTTGTGGAAAACTGTTCACTGCCATATCTATGTATCTATTTATTTACATTAACATTTCACAATTATCAAATTACTATTTTAGCAACATAGGAAGAGATAGTAGAGTGAATTATTATAATAAACAATAAACATGAAAACTCTAAATCACTGGATCACCTGTCCATGACTATCTCAAGCATTTTCTGATCCGATGCATTCACTGGAAATTTCTGACCCTTTGTCTGCTCACTGAAAGCCAACAACATTCTGCAAAGAAATTTTTATAAGTTAAGAAGAAATCATTATCCATGCAACTAGTGTGCTTGTGAATAACATCATGTAAATAAATTATGGTCAGACAAGTTCTTCAGACACAAAATAAATATTATGTGCATGCAAGTTGTATGTTGATTTATTAGTCAAATTGAGAACAAACGAATACAATGTATTTGAAAATCAATAACCTGTGTAGCGATTCGGAAGTCAACCGCACCTCTTCAAGATCCATAATACCTTGATGCCTCTTCCTGAACGTGTCAAAAAGCTCATCTCGGATGGATAAAATCTGAATATATATATATGTATCATCAGAATTGTATATGACATTATTAACTATGTTGTAGGTCAAATAAAGGGAATCAATAGTAAAAACATTTTTTATGATTGTTTTGCAACTTCGTTAGAAGTTTCTAGGTCATTTACTAGATAATATCAAGGCTCGTGCTTTCTTCCAATATTGATTTGAAAACCTCAATCATTGTGATATCATTTTAAAAGATAGGATTCAAGAGGTAGGGAAGAAAATTATATAAAAAATATAAATTAGTCCATTGCTCATGAAAGTTTTTTAAGAATCCTACTTTCTTATGGTTATTACCCAACAGATCTTTTTAGTACGGTGAGGTTGAGAATATTGAACATGGTATTGGTAGCCACTAGCCACGCCTCCTATCTTGTAAGGATATGATTAAGTTCACACCCCTTTCATTTTGCCCAACATTGTGTTCTCATGGAACACGAAAAAAAGAAGAAGAAAAAAAAAAAGGCAACTCTAGTAAATAATAAACAAGAGATTTACCGGTTGTTCTACGTGATCCTTAAAAAAGTCAACTGTTGAGTCCTTCACTTCCTTAATCCAGTTATCAAGATCAGAGCTTCCCATCAAGCTACTATGCCGTAAGAGCCAAAGAGAGCATACGGAGAGACCAACAGCACCACATGCATATTGTACCCAATGTTGGGTTATTCTCTTTGGTTTTCTATGTTTGACAACCTGAAAAATGAAATAGAAAACTGTAAACTTGCATTTTGAAATTTAATAAATTTACCATGTAAATCAGGTAGGAGACAACAAAACTCGAAATCAGTGTGCATTATCAATACAATAAGAGGTTTGATTGTTCAACTTCAGAACCTCCCTAAATGCCTAAATCTAATAAATATGGTGAAAGTAAGACAATACATAGTAATTGACTCCAATCAGGACAATATTTCCACTCCAAATGCCTAGTGAGGAAGTGTCAAATATGGTTGGGAGATCGGAGAGACTTCTTACTGTTGCAAGTTAGTTACTCTGTAGGATTACTGTAACTACCTTACCAGACTAGTAACTGTGACTAGTTCACTATAAATATGAGCACCCATACTTGAATCACATAGAGACCAACATTTTACATTTCAATTCTTCAAATTCCTAAACTTTGAAATTCAATCTCTCAAATGCCCAGAGTAGTCATTCCCGAATAGTGGCGGAGCGGCCGACCCCAAAAATGGGATAGCGGGATAGTGTATAGCGGGATGACTGCTCTATTTAATCATTTTTTGGACAAATTTCATATAATAATTATAAACATATATTCAATGTAAAAATCAAACAAATAACTTAACTCATAAAATATTCATAAATCAAAGCACACATGACTTGAAGTGCATAAACTATAAAGGAAAGTTAAGATTGAGTTTAAGGGGTAATTTCGATTTTTTTATAGGGGAAAAGGATAGAGGTCATGAAACTGCTCCGGTCCGGGAACTGCTCTGCTATCCCACTATTTACCCCCTACAGCGACCACTATAGTGTTTTGCACCACTAAGTCTCTTCCCATAGCAGTCAACCACCGCTCCGCTCAGCTATAACGGGATAGCGCCGCTATTGGCCGTTATTGACTACTCAAAATCATCCACCTTCCCCACCTCCAACCTCAACGAAGATGCCTCTGATCGAAGACACTAGAAAACTAATATCACCATGAGAGGTCGACCATATAATAAATTTTCCAAAACCATATGCATATTATAAAAAAATTCAAACAGTCAAATCTTCCACCAAAAATTAAAGTGTAAAATTGTCTTACAAGGAAACATATGTAAGATTCCAGCTTGTCTAAATTGTGGTAAACTGAATTGATAGCATCTCTAATTTCACAATCTGTCCATTGGGACCCATCCTGATTTATTTTTGGGAGCTCCTCAAACAGCAGGGGAGTTGAATAAGTCCCATCAACAGAAGAATCCCTCTGAAAAGTAGAAAACATTAACTCTGGAATTAGGCATTAATATTAAATACAAGACACAAAAAGGAAGACAGCATCAGTACTAAATACAAGATACAAAAAAAGGAAGACGGGAATAAAAATAAAAGAAAAAAGAAACAATTATTATTTTTATTCATTACAACCTGACGCGTTGCATGTAGATGTCCAATTGAAGCTTCTAATGTTGAGAACAAATCATTAATTATACCCAACAATGATGGAAGTTTATTCTCTGGATCTGTTATTAATCCCTCTCCAACTTTATGAACTTCCGCATAAATCTGAACATGAAAAATCAAATTTATAAGTAATATCAAAAAATTAAATTGACATTTAACAAAGTTAAGTTAGCAAGCAACTTTATCAGATTTTTTAATTCTCTAATAAGTGAATTAATCAGTTTATGTTGCATCCTTTCATCCTTTGTTTGTTTCCAAAGTCATGTAATATGCCAGAAGAACATGAATTCTACTTAAAGGGTGCATTAAAGAAATTTGTGCCAAAGTCAGAAAACAGGCAGGGCTATGTAGTCACACTAATAAACACTCAGAAGTAAGGAATTAATAAGCCAAAGGAACTAAACCTGCCCCAAAAATATCGCCAATGAACATCTTAAGCAACTGAGAACAGATATTCTCTCGTCAATATGATCAGATGCAGATTGACATAGATTCTGTAAGAAAGAATCTTGAGTAGCACATCCACGCAACAAATTAACCGTCTCACCCATAAAAGCACGAGGACCTCTCTCAAAAATCATGAAATAAGCTTTCCTATTATCTGATTGCTGAACATAAAACAAAGTAATAAATAAATAAACAATCAGTATTATGAGTATTTCCGTATGCAGCACCGACAATTCAAACTCAAATACAATGTGTGTCCAATGTTCGACACTACACTAACACCGGAAGATTCAAATTATCATGGATAACCATCAGTGTATGCAACTATATCTTGGATCAAAAACATCAAGAACAAAACCAAAAGAACATAACCTCAGCTATAGATTCCCAAAACTGAAGATTCTTTTGAATGAGATGCAAGTTCTTCAAAACACGCTCTAACACGTCTTTCAAGACAGCATGAACTCTAGATCCGTTAGTGTTGTTACTGGAAAGAAAAATGTCATATAAAAACTTCGAAAACCCTAATTTTCATTTGGCATACAAACACAAACAGTATAATGATGAAAATCAATTCGAGCATTTAAGATATAATTGATTACAAATGCAAGATGAAAATGAGCGTACATAGAAGAGTGGAGAAAGTTGGAAGGTACGGGAAGAGGGAGACATTCTCGACGGCGGGATGATCGGAAGGGAGAAGTGAAGTTTGAGAGGAATTTGGTAGGGGAGAAGAAATAGAAAGCAGAGAATCGATTACGGAGGAAATCGGAATAGAAGAGTGAGGGAAAGTTTCTGCTTGCGGAGGATTCCGCTTCCGATGGTACAACCGCCATGACAACCACCGTGGCAACTTCCAAGCTTTGCGGTTCCGACAATCGAAATTTGTATACCGCTGAACCCTGAATTTAACCTAACGCCCAATCAATTATACCTCACAGCTCTCGTTTCATTCACTTAAGAACATGATTATCGGTGTTCTTTGAGTTCTTACATATTTATTAAAGAAATTGTGTCAATAATAAATGGATATTTCACTTGTTTTCACGTTCCTGAATTAAAACACGTCCTCGTACTAAAGCACGCTTCTTAAATTTTATTTGATTTTTTTATTTTTTTTTTCTCAAAAATTATTAAATGTAGTTAATTTATTTTAAAGGTGGGACCCATTTTAGATTTTTTGATGAGTTAAATGGATATTTGAGAATTATAGATGTATTGTTTAAAAAACTGAGAAGGGTGAAATAATATAAAAAATTACGTGGGTCCTATTTAAATAACCCAAATGGATATGATGGATGTGAATGCTCTTGTACTATCATGCTTATTTTTTTCAAATTTTCGAAAAATCTACCGGACTTTTAAAAGATAAATGTTTTTTCCTCCTTAATTTTATGAGTTTATACCTCATATTTATAGTTTATACTTTATACCGGTTTTTTATTCAAAATATGTATTTTTATCGGTAATTTCAAAAAACTCAATAAAAAATATATATTTTTAATAACAAATTTCAAAAAATCTAGTAAACTATTTTTATTTTTTTTGAAATTTTGGGTAAAAATGCATATAAGCATATTACAATTTAGAAAAAAAAACCTTTATAGCATGTAACTGATCGGATTTTTTAAAATTATCGATATATAATTGAAAAGATCTGGATAATTAAAAAAATATGATAGTTAATTTTTTTTGTTTATTGTAGCGAGGACTAAAGGAATAGATCAGAAGATTGTTTCTAGATTGGCTAACATGACGTAAAAATCAAAGAGAGCAGTTGAAGAGAGCTCTGGTGCAGGGTCACATATTCAGGCGGTTAGAGTAGCCATTGTTGGTTCTTATCAGAGGAGAATTGAGCAGTCTTGAGCACCATGTACTCTTCAGTATATATGAGGGAGGTAGACAGTGCATAGATCTTGATGCAGAGCTTGATGTTGTCGTTATTGACGATGACAACAATTAAGGAGGATGTTAAGGTTCTTCCTTCTGATGATATAGAGGTTGAAATGGTGGTTCCTACTGTAGCTGACATGGAGGTGGCAGCACATACTGGTACAAAGCCATTTGCACATACAAATAAGGGTTCCAAAAAGGGTCCAATGACCCAACCTTGCTCACTTTGTATATTGATCATGTGACATTTAGATTATGGCAGGGAGAAGTATTAATACTTTATTTTTAAGTTGTTTTTATTTATTACTCATTATTGAAAGTAACTAATGACTTATACTTTAATTATTATAGGACTACGTCTCATTGAGGTGCCCACCCATGGGGTAAAGTTAAAAAAACTTTCGGATGTTCAGATGCCAAATAAAGTCAGGGTGATCGTCGCTGTTGTTAGATTGCTTCCATTGTTGGGTTGTTCCCTAACCATTCTCGACACTCCTTTGATGTCCACTTTTGTTTAGCGATGTCATAAGGAGATATTCTATTTTCATCTTCTATTTAGTGAGATAAAGATCACCCTTAGTGATGTCTCTGGTCTCTTTTATCTCCCCTTGTAGGTAATTTTTCATCGCTTCTATCATTAATCAAGAGATTGCATGTATGGCGTCTGAGCAATACCTAGGTGTTACACGGGGATGCTATTTGAGGAGTTTAAAGCTAATAGGGATTCTCATTTCCATATATTTTGGCTTCGAAAGATGTATCAGTATCTTGTGGAGCATTATATGTATGAGGCGCAACTAGAGTATAAATATTGTATCTTGTAGGATGTATTATCTTAGAGGATAATCTCATGAATACATGAATGCCATATAAATATCCTTGTTTTCTGACTTAGCACCCGCACTAGGCACGGGGTTGGAGACATTTGTCTTTGAGACGAGTAGGCAGATTACCAATTATATGAGTATATTTTAGGTATGAATAGTTTTCATATTTTATTTATTTAGTTCTTATTTTTCAAAGACATTTCGTATATGTAATTTCTTCTTCATGTGCAGTGATGGATATATAAATCATTCTCGTCCATTTGTGACAGGCGTGCTCGTGGTCCTATCATTAATGGTTCGCCACAGGCCACCAGATGGAGGGTCTAACATTTGTGACTGGCGTGATCGTGGTCCTATCATTAATGGTTTGCCATGGGGCCCCATATGAAGGGTCAAACATCCTCATTCATTCGGTCTTCTAGAGTATAAGCAGAGTATCGACGCGCTAACCGTAAACAATGTCATGTGGATACCCTACGTAAACCATAGATTTCATCGAGGATATGATAACACTGTCTTGTTTTCGAGATATCTATGATGAAAGAGTTCAATGGCTAGATATTTACTTGACATTTATTTGCGCCAATTTGGATATGTTCAAGGCATCTCTTGACCAGACCTTCATATGTTATTTAAGGGCTTTGATAGATGGTTTATGTCTAACATCGTCACTAGTGTCATTGTTATTATAGAGAATGCAATGGATGTGGAGTTCCCTGGGCAGAGTTTGAATGGTTACTTATAATGGTACTTTAAAGTATCTTGCCTCGCATCATCCCACCTATTCAATCTGAAGATGATGTCAGGTATTCTCATGCTGGAGGACCTTCATATGACCTACCACTGCCTCCATCTGGTGTGATTGTCCAGTAATGGTTGCAGATGATAACACTTCTTACAGATAACCTCATGGGTTTGGTAAACCCATATGTTGAGGTTTATACTTTGACATTGCATATATCACACATTGCTTGTGGCTGACATGTGTAAGTTTTATTATTTGTATATTATTTTGGTTTTTTAATGAATTGTTTGTATTTTATTTGTACATTATTGATATTTTACCTTAACACAATGTTAGATGAAAATTTAACATTACACTATTGTGGAATTAACATAACTTAGCACATACAATGTTTAACATAACATAACTCAATAAGAAAATAATATGAACAAAACTTAAAAAGTACTAGATAATTCAAGACGTTTTAACATATTGATAATATCGTCTACAAGTCTCTCAACTTTCACATCCACCTCGACCAGACCCTTTGTTTCATATTGATGATATATGCTCCGCATGACTTTTAAATCTTCATTCGTCTTCAGCTCAAATTTACTGAACACAATCTACCATTTATTATTAAATAACGGTTAACGATACACAATCTTAACCACCTTTCTGTTATAAGTATGGTGCACAAGATTATTTAGTTTGAATTTCAAAATAATAAGAGGGGTGTCCTCTATGAGCCTAAACTCAAAATGTGGTTTCACGCCATTGAAGTACATAAATGTGATAAATCAATATTGATACATTTTTATATATTTTTGTTAACAACATATGGTGCATATTTATACAAGTTTGGAATCATTATGGGCCACATAAAATTAATGGTGCAATCAAATTCCTAGAAAAGTATCAACAAAATCTTAGTCGTTCAATTATAATAATACCATATATTTTAGGTTGTGGCGAAAAATCTAGTGCATCAAACTTTTCTAAATTGTCAATAAAAATGCATATACCAAAATTTTACTTTTGCTTACTAGATATTTTGAAGAAAAAAATTACATGTCATTGAAGAAAAAAATTTAAAGAGATATTATTGATATAAAAATGAAATATGGAGTGTCAAATATAAAATTTGGGGTGTTAGATGACAATCTCTTAGACCTAATTTTGTATACAAATTATAATAACTACATCCAAAATATGGCTCTTTAAAGTAAAATAAATATTTCAAAAACTAAAATAAAAGTAAAATAACATTGAATTTTAGAAAGAAAGATTTTATAACATATTTTAAAGGTTTATTCCAAAAATGTTTAAAATAAAAATGAGATTTGCTTAGCAAATTGATATATATAATTATTTATTTATAAGTTATTATTACTTTATTTTCTATAAAGTTGGTGAATAGGTGACAATCATTTAAAACGTTCAAGTTGGTTGAAATTTTTAGTCGGTAAATCATTTGTTAATGCATGTGTTAGTTGGTACATGAAAACAATGTAGGTTGAAGTTTTTAATATTGATGTGCGTATTTTCATAAAAACAACTCTATAGTAGTTTTACATTGTAGTTCAATTGGCAAAAAGTTGATATTATTAGGTTGGACGTCAATATTAGAGTTAAAATTTAGGAATTCACGATTTTGTGTCTAAGATTTTAGTGGTTATTATCATTTTGTCTAAAAAAAAAAGGCTTCACGATGTAACTTCATCCACATTAATTCACAAATTATTACTCTTATAGTTTTAAATTATGCTTCAACACTTGATCATGCCATTACACTTTACTTTATACTTTGAAGTAATAAGATTCTCGCACAAAAGAGTACAATAGCCTGAATTAGAGTTTTTATCACTTATTGTACTTGCATAATTAGCATTAGTGTATGTCATCGTAGTTAGATTGTCACCGTAGTTAGATTGTCACATCTTTTGAACTGGAGTCCTCTTTACAAAACATCTTTTAGATGTTATAGAGTTCAGTCAATAACTTGCAAATGTCTTGGTCTTGAGTCATATGCATGAATTAACTTAATGTTTTGGACTGAGCATGCACTTGGCTCAAACATCATACAAGGCCCAATCTGATTGTGCTACATGAGATAGCCTGCTAACAACGACTGTCCTCGACTAGCTCGGACAATAACCTCGTTCTTCTGGTCGACATGGCTTTGCCTTATAGGAACAACCCCAGAAATGGTGAGGAGGGGAAAAGACAATCAGGAGGGCCTCGCAATCATATCTCACTCTTCTTGTCGACCAAGACAAGTCCTTTGGGGATAATTTCACAGCTGGCGGGAAGGGTCCACGACAAACAGAAGTACCTCACGAGCATCTTCCTCGTAGGGCTGACTCTCAACACCTCTGAATATCACTGGGTC